GCGCATGTGCTGCAAAGCAGGTGTGGGAGGGAAGTCGTGTGGGTGAGGCCGTGGAGACGTCTCAGGGCCTCGAGCAGATCTAGAATCTATGGGAGTTTACATGTGTTCTGCATAAACTCTCCGGCTGAGAAAGCAGGAACACATCCCATTCAGGCTCGACTCCCAGGTACGCTCATTTCTCTGCCTTCAAGCATTCGAACGCCCTTTTTTTTTTTTTTTTTGCGGCTCGGATGAAACGGGGAAGACTCGGTTCCCCCTTACTCCCGGCGAGGTGAGCGTCTGAACTGGAGTGATGGGAGGAAGCGTACCGTCGCACTTCTGTTTGCAAAAAAGTGGAAGGTTCTGTTGCCAAAACACGCTGAACCTTCTAATGGCCGTCACCCTGATGCTGGCGGCACCGCTGAGTGATCGCTTCCCATTTTTTTTCACACTTTTGGGTTCTGCTAGAGGCCAGAAAATGGCTGGGTTTTGTGAGGCTGCGGCTGCAGACAACCTTGCGGCCTGGATAAAAATCTAGCGCTCTGCTGTGGATGCTTATAATTAATCACAGCGGTGTCCTTGGAGAGACGGGCACGGCGGCGCTAGAGTTCCCGGGCTGTGTCTGCGTACACCGGGGGAGTCACCTTGACTGCGAAGCTGCACTTGCCGGTGCGGACCCCCTCCTCGTCCGTCTGCCATTGGTGCGGCCGACTGGACTCCGGCACGTAGATGTCTTTCTTCCGCCGGAAGCTCTGCCGCAGCTTATTCATCGCTGATCTCCCTGTGAGGGCGGAGACACGCGTACGGTTAGTCCCAGCATCCCAAAACGGGACGACAGAATAAAGACACAAAAAAAAATAATGCGTGGGCACGGCGCTGGCTTGAAAGACGGAGAAATAACCCAGATATGAATGAATTGAAAAAGCAAACGAAGCAGATCTGATGAACACATCTTTCATTTCAGTTTGTCACAGAGAGGAACCAAAGACATTTTACGACTCTATCTGGACAGTAAGCGAGGTCGATGTCAGAGCCACATTTGAGCTTTGTTCTTTGCAAAGCTCTGGTTTTTCAGCCCAGATTGCTAACTAGCTGCAAGTCCAAGGCCTATTTACACTTCTCCACAGCTCAGGGGTGTAAACAAACCCTAAGATCCTGATTGGCCCTAATTTGTGATGGAAAAAACACCTAAACCAGGCTGTGCCCAGGCGTGTAGGGCTGAGTAGGTACAAGTACTAAACCACCAGAAGTAACTACTGTCCAACACATCTGACATATTCAAATCCATCCAAATGGGTTATGAAAAGCAAGCTCACAAACGTATCCAAAGTTTCAAAACTTTCTGCCTCGTGTAATGGACAACAGAGCTTTATTATTAAGTTTAAGCATAAGTTTGTATTACCCTGACTCCACTGGAGTCAAAGCTGCCCAAATAAAAGGAGACAGCAGCATTCCCATCAAGGTGATGCCTTTACCCGGCTAACGCAGGAATTTTTTGGCAAGGCATGAAACAGCAACATCTTGAAACAAGTTCAAGAAAACGCGCTGATAAGTTAGTTTCAACGGGTTTTTGCGTTTGTCTTGGCATCGACTGCAAACGCACATTCCATCTGTTTTGTACTCATCTTGTTGTCCCTGTAGACATAAAACTGCAAAAAAAGGGAAAAAAAAAGAAACTTGCGAGGCAACAAGCATGAGCCAGATGACTACTGTCACCTCATTCAAATGAATTTGCAAGAAAGGCTGGAGGTGTCAGAAACACCCAGTGTTGTTCACATGCCCACATCTTTGTTCCACTTAAATTTCCTGTTCGAGTGATGTAGTTGTCTGAGATCTGATGCTTTACTTGAAAAGAACACTATTTTTTACATTGCACCGACATTCCATCTAACTTTAATGTCTCTTTAATGATCACTTCCTTGATGTTTAGTCAAACAGAGTACTTGATCAAGCTAACAGTGCTGCTTTAACCAGCACATGCATGTCCTCTTGGCCTAGAAAGGGGATTAAGAAGCAGAAAAAAAAGAAAGAAAAAAAAGCCGAGACCCAATTAAAAGTTGCTGATCCAAACGAGAGCTGAGAGGTGCATCCATCATCGAAAGCCTGACTCACGTCTCCCCAGAGCAACTTAACTGGGAGCCAAAAGTCATCCGACCGTGCCATTCTGCCTTTTAACACATGAGCAGACCGTAGACCTCGACTAACAAGTTGTACTCACCAACCTGGGAACTGATGAGGATCTGTCAGGATTAAAAGTCTCTAATCCAGGAGAGCTGACTGTCCACAAACACACACGGAAAAAAAAAGAAAAAAAAAACACCAAAGGAAAAAAAGAGTAGCAACATGACAGCATACAGTCAAAACATATGTCCCTACACACACACACACACACACACGACCTGAGCTGTCTGTTTGCATAATGAAACCTGTCCTGTGAGCCGGTAATGGCTCACAGGCTGGAGGTGACGCTCTCTTATCTGTTCATGCCAGGCTCAGGCTCTGCGGCCAGCAAACAATACAGCCCTCACAGCCCTGACCAGGCCACCCAAACGTGAACACACACATCAAACTTCCTGCCGGAGTGGCCCATTGAGCCTGGACCGTCTCAAGGACCCCGAGTCTTCCACATGCGGCAGCTACTGAAAAAAAATTAAAATCAGCTCAGAGGCCCTAAGCCAGGTTGATAATGAAGCGGATTCGCTCCTACAAGTCAGCCAGCAACAGCGTAACTACCGCAAAAGGCCGCTGGATTCTGGTGGTAGAGGGAGAAATCACGACTGTGTACGCTAAAATACGACCTCAAGAACAAACAGAAAGCCGTCCTGTGCGTCCTGTTCTGAGCATTTATAAAAAGCTTTGCACTCCACTGAAAAATACACAGTTAAATGTCCCAGTAAAATACTACAAAGTTCATACATGAAACGACCAAACGGTGGCGTGTGAGGCCTCGGACGAACTGGCAGGCCTTGTGAAGCAAGCAGAAACATACACAGACACTTGGAGGGTTCATTTTGTGGGCACACCGGCACCCTTCAAAGTTGGGAAGCAGGTCGCCAAGAGGCCAAGTAGAACCTTTCGTGAGACCCAAACACCACTGCAGGTGTTACTAAACACTAAGCTCCATTGTGTCCACTAGGCACACACACAAACAGTTGGTGCAGCCTGCAGGTATATATAAACTCACACACATATTTATATATAAGTATACATTCATTGCTTCATCCCTCACTCCTGCTCTTTGCCACCAAACTTGTTTATTTAGGTCATATCATGTTTGGGCTGACTGCAGCACCAGAGACAGGCTGCATGCCTCCAGCCTGATGAGTGACGCCCAGAGAAAAATGAAAGAACTCGTACCCACAAAGCGAACGCACTCTGATCGTTGGAGTGTGCGAGACGCACAGGCAAACGCAGAGCGCTGCGGCACGGCTTTGCGTTGCAAATCAGGACCCCTAGAACAATGTCAGCTCTCAGTTAAACAACACGGTTAACGCGCAGAGCAGGGGGAAGGACACCGTGCTGGAGGAAGAAAACATCCCCTCATTTGACTATTTCTTTCCCAGAAAATGAATTTTTAATAGTCATTATTATAATATCTCTAACCTCCAGTGAATCACAACTGAAGTGAAAGACTGCTTTAAAGGGTTTAAACCAGACAGTATAATGTTTTCCAGTCGAAAAAATAGGCTGTCTTGATGCAAACCTCCTTCGGGTTTGCATCTGGATGACATCCGTGAGAAAGAAACGCAAAGGACAGATCATCTTCAGGTATTGGACACATATCTGGAAATATAACGGATGTTATGTCATAACTTGAGTTCATAGGGGTTTAGAGAGAATAAACAGCTGGTAAGTCACTACATTACAACCTTAGCCGGGTCAGAGCAATAATCCACATCAAATCTTCCTCCGAGGAGCCTGTGACCGACCTATAACGGACTGATCTGGCTGCACCTCTCTGAAGTTGCCTCTCGTAATCGCTTAGCACATGCTGCCACCTGACAACCCACACAACCCCCCCCCCCGCAAACCGCTGGGTCCCTGAGAGCCGACAAAAGGACGGAGTGAGAATTAAAGCAAAAAGGCAGATTGTTTATTCCTGTGCGTGGGAAAGAAAGCACCCGCTTGTGTGCATGGAGCCAGCGCTGCCAGGAGACGAGGGCGCAGCGCGGAGGACCACTTCCAACGCTGGGAATCGGGAGCACTGACAATACGCAACGCCTTTGGATTTTGGGCAAATTAGGATCCCAGATCACGACGTTACCGGCTCCTAATCTGGCTCGGAGCTCGTTGTCTTCTTCCTGCCCTTTCTTGGCCTTTTCAGAGTGAGTGATGATCCGGGGGAAGGATTCGCGTTTGCCAGCCACCTGAGCCGGCGAAAAAAGAAGCGAGGATCGAGTACAGGCGCATCACAATGGGCACGCTTTTGTGTGCGCAAGGCTTTGTGGGCAAAGCCGTTTTCTGCCAGTGTGAGTACTCAAAGCCGCACGGATGCTCTGCATCTGTATTCCTGTCATAGAACAGACACCGTCAACCCTCCTGAGACCGGAGTTCAATATTATCAGGAATTCAAAGAGGCTGGTTTTCGTTGGGAGGCCCTTTAATAAACTGATCCGCTTGAATGATCTTCTCAGTAAATACACAAAGGGGATAAGCAGGATATTGGCTGGGGGGGGAAAATACGTTTTTTTTTTGTTTTCAGACTGAGTAGGGGCTCAGCCTGAGGGGAAGCGAACGGTGATTTCTGAAACCAAGCGGGACTTTGTTCTGTTTTCTTAAAACCGAAACGGAGGCCACGTACCTGAGAAGGCATTTATGATGGATTTAGCTTGTCGGAGCACGGTAAAAAGTGGACAGGAGGCAGAATGTTCATACTTTATACAACCATTAGGATATGCGTGTGGAAAGTGAGTGTCTTTATTCGAGTTCTGGACTTAACTGCAGTCATCGTTTCCTACTACTTTGTTTGTATTTTTAACCTTTACGGCCCCTTCAGAGGGGAATACTGTTCACTCACTGATACTTTGGAATGAAAAATTCCATTCACATTTCCTTCATGGTAATATGCATCGATCAGCCCTGGCTTCGTGACCTGCTGCTTTTAACTGAGCATGTTCTCCAGAACAGCTGTGGCCACACAGGGCACGCTCATCTGCCAATTTGGGATGCTTTCCTGAGGAGAATACTGTCGCTTGGGCTTTTTAAACGCTATCAAAAGGAATTCATTTTGCTCTATAAAAAACTATGTAAATTTTGTCTCATTCTCCATGGGTGATGAGCACTGGCTGTAAACTGGGTGGTCACATGTGCTTAAAGCCTCATGTCAAACACGGACAATGGCTTTGAGATTTAGATGGCTGTCAGCTTTGGGGGCTCTTGCCAACGTTCCTGGTCTGGATTTAAAAAGGAAGAGGTGCATCTCAATGGGTTTAAACTTAGTTGTAAGTGGCGTTTTTTTTATAAATTTAATCAATGATTGACCCTGCGTTTGGCTGTGTGTAAGTGTAGGTCAGGTGAGGGACGCTTAGCTCTTTATTTGGCCTTTGGCCAGAAGGCACGATGGAGCACAAAGATCCTTTAGGCTTTGGGTTGCATTTGTTTAGGGTGAATCAGCAGTGAGGATCATTGCCCTCACTGCCAAAGTGTGCATGATCAAGCTGTTTCTACCAACATTTTAAAGAGTTCCCAACACAAGTTAGGCAACCTGAGGGGAATAAGTGGCTAATTGTATATGTACATAACAATAGGTTGACCCAAATTTGGGATTTTAAAAAGTCATTATCTACGAGTAAACCGTGGGGAACAGGTATAACACATGTATAGATGGCTAGAACTGGCAAAGACTACACACCGTTTTGTCCTTGGAGAATGAAAAATGGAAAAACACGATATAAAAAAAAAAACATTTTGGAACAGAAACAAACTGCAGCAACTCCACCAGTCACAGTCATAGTAGCGCTGGGGGGGGGGGCTTTCAATGCAAAGCAAGAGATGGATAACATGTTAAAAGATGCACTCTGCTTCAAGACAGCAATGAAACGTACTGATGTTAAAAGTGTAGCGAGGCATGGAGGCCAAAGGTGGAGCAGAGGGGTAAATCCTTCGGTGTAAAGCAGGATATGTATCACTTATCCCACTGCTCGGAGTATCTCCGGCTGCGCTCCCGCCAGCTCTAAAGAGGACAATTATACAAGAACCATTTACATTCCGCCAGTGTTCTTGCACAAAATAAAAGTAGAGCCGACAGAGAGGGAGATCTCCCCCTCAGCCAGTTGCTGTGCTGCCGCCCTGGGAGGAGGGTGGGAGTGCGGCTGTAGATGTAACAGTGTTTAAATAATCTCTCCAGGAATGGAAAACTGATTAATCCTAGCAGAAGGATCCTAGGGATGAGTGCAGCAGTTTGGTCTCAAAGGCACGACTGAGGGGAAAGAGAGAGGGAGGGAGGGAGGAGGCTAGAGCAGGGAGTGAGCGTGAGGAAAGAGAAAAAGAGAAAAAGAGAGAACGGCCAGTCCGAGACAAAAAAGGGCCCCACTGTCTCCTTTTTATGATCTGCCCCACCTCTGTGCCAGCTGATACTCTTCATGCTGTTTCACACAGCCCCGTCCCAAGGAATTCCATGTGTTGGAAGCGTGTTTATAGTCTAGAGAGCAACAATGAGATAGGATTTCCTTTATCAATAAGGCCAGAGATTTGTCTCACACACACACACACACACACACACACACAAAGAAAAAACACCAGCCAAGCATATCTGCAGAGTCATGTTATCAGAGAGCCGGTCAGCTAGTGATGGAGGCTCTGTCCCGCTCTCAAACGGCCACGTGAGGAGGGAATTCAAAAAATGCTGTCGCCGTGGTAATCCAATTCTCTGGTCCTTCCTCCCTCCCTGCCTCCGTTTGCGACTTGGCAAAGTAGAAAGAAGAAAAAAAAAAAAGTTGAAAATTTGGATGAAAGAGGGAAGAAATAAATAAAAAATTCTAAGCTTGGGCGCATAGAAGCGCGGAGCCAAGAGAATCCGAACGTCCATGACAAACTGAGGGAAGATCAAGGCACCGCCAAGAAGGTCGGGGGCTTTGTGGCTCTAAACTTAAGTGGTAATCGGCTTAGCTCTTACTATTTACATCACAATAAATACAGTATGATAAATAATAATAATAATTATTTTAAAAAAACGCACAGCATAACTGGGCCGCGAATGATCTCACTGCCACCAAGTATTGACGTTTAATGGTTGAAGCACAAGAGAGACGCCGTTCAATGGGCACCCAGCTGCTCCCTTAATTAATGTTAAACCCTAAATGGGATAGTCTGGGTCACAGACAACCGCATAGAATTAATCACAGTATTACATGAGGAAGTTACTGAGGGCGAGTGTGACCTAAATCGAGTCTGTCCAGCATCCCGCTCAGAAGTGACACGCCGTTTGTGTACAATGGCCCATGTTGACGCCTATAGTGTCGGTTTTTGTTTCCGCCCTTTTTCGTCTAGAGACAGCTAAGGGGGGAATGAGAAAAACTCATCTGAGTTCCTTCTGTGACAGGCATTCTGAGTCTAAAAAGGCCTTAGAAATCACTGTCAGTTACTATCTGGTCCCTGCTGATGTCTTTCCTCCTTGACATGGTGTCAGCATCCAGCTGCTATTGGTCCTCATGTCTGGCCGTCTTCAATTTTGAAGACCTGTTAAGGCCTGGTTGATTTAAAAACCTTTTTAATGATGCCCGGCTGCTTAAAGCCTTAGAGTTGAAAGACGGTGACATCGGTAAAGATGCGTGCGTCTATATTATTCTTTTTTTTACATTTTTCTTTTTTTAAGAGTTCAAAATTAGGTTTCCTGGTTACACGAAACAGCTTTGAACTCCACCGTGTCTCACCGATCGGGACATGGCAGAAGTGGGTGGGACGCCATAAAAAGGAAGGAAACGGTGGGGATAGTACTGCTGGCTCCTGTTTGCACCGCTCAGGAGATCCCTTTCTGGCCCTGAGTCATTCCAGAGTCAGTGTGTTCCCTTCCCCACCGCAGGACACGGTGACTCCCCACCTCCTCTGCTTCCTGAGTACCACGCTGACTGGGGTTTACAGGTCCAGAACGCTCCACGGTTGATAAGGCGTCCCTCGTAACCTGCCTGGTCATGCTTGTGTTAAGAGGTCCATTGACCAGTTCCAGACTAATGCAAAGCTAAGCCCACAGTGCGACATCTGGGAGCCGCACGTCTCGTTGGGCAGCAGCCCGAGGCCACATTTAAACATCCGGTGCAGTGCCCTGGCGCTGGCCCGGCGGCACATTATGGTCACTGCATCGTCTCTGGTCAGGCGTGCTCCAGTGAGGGCTCAGACACTGAATTTGCGGCCCGATTTTACACCACTGGGCCACACAGGCCATTAAGGGGTCATCTTAAGGATTCCCATTTCTTGCTTTCCGCCCTAAAACCGCATACTGAGATTGTTTTTCTTGCCAGAGGAGACAGTTTGCCAAATGGAGTGGGCTTCTATTAACTGAGTAGTACTAAAAACATCGCGGCGCTGCTGTGCAGGCAGGCTGAACTGAAATCACCGGCCTGCTAAGAAGGGTTTGATCTACTGATTTGAGAGCTGAGCTGCATCAATCCTGCTCTCCCTTTAAAGCAAGCTGCTGCAGAGAATACAAGTACTCACTCATGTGGAAGCCGTGAGACTATGCCTTCCGGCTTTCAGTACTTTGTTTTTTTTCTCTACAGAATAAAACTGTCTCTGTCTTTTTATTTTTAAACAAAAGAGGTAGGTGTCATTTTTTGGGAAACGTTATGCAAAACTGTTAGTGAAAGGGCCTTTGATGGAAATTTGTTTACAGTTTCCTTCTCGACATCACCGGCATTGTGTGTACTATGAAGCAAAGAGAACCCACGGCTCCTAAAAGCACACTCTCACACACGCTCACGCTGCGGACCGATGACCGCAGCCTCTCGAGGCCCCACCCGAGGCCAAAACGGCTCCATTATCAGGCTTCGGTGCGTTCGAGGGTAGTGAACTGCCATTAGACCAGTTTCAGCAAGGTAGAGAAAAACCGGGGCCAGATTGCGCATACGGGGTACTCTCTGTGTGAGCAGGAAACACTGCCAGCGTTACACATTCACCTGGCCTCAGCAAAGCTCTGTTAATAGATCATCTATTAATCCTGACTCTGGTTGGCTGAAAACGAAAATGTCAGCATTAGCACATTTAGAGTGTCTTGGGGAAAAGAATGCTGATGTAAAATTGCAGCTTTTATCCCCAGGCTGGTGAGTACACTGAAATACAATACATCAACTCTGCAATCACAGCCCCCCACCCCCAGTCGAAGGGGGGAAAAAAGATTGTATACCCCTAATAGACCGGTAAACTTTGTTTTTAAGATGAACTATGAGGGTCTGTGGATTTGTACGAATTTAAAGAGTTAATATTTACATCCAAAACAGCTCAAAAACACTGAGCTGGAGTTCAGTCATCGCTAAGTGGAGTTGACGATCTCACCCTAAACCAAATGAGTTGTGTTTTCAAAGGAATATTTAAACACAGTTTCCATCAAAGGCCCTTTCACTAACAGTTTTGCATAAAGTTTCCCAAAAGATGACACTTACCTCTTTTGTGTTCTTAAAAAAATGGAATCCCCTCATCTTCCTTTAATTTGTAAAGAAAGAAACTAAAGTGCTGATAGAAGAAAACACATAAAAACTCAAAACAGCTTCTAAACTAAAGGTAAACTGAGTAATATCAAACAGTCTTTATGAATCAAACCAACAACAAGTCATGCCTGGGGGGGATCATCTTACGACAAAGTGCTAAATATCCCAAAATAAAGAGATGTAAAAGCAGATTGAGTTTTTTATGAGCTTGGCAGAGGAAAGAGGACTATGAGGGAAAGGGAGATGAGGAGGGTGACAGACAGCTGTGTGAGCGCCCTTCCAGATGTTATAATGGGTCTGATCGTCTCCATCATCCACAGCAAAAAAATAGGATGAAGCTCCTGGAAAATATAGAACGAGGAGCGCCGCAAGGACCGCCGATTTGCCTTTGATAATGGTCAGGCTTAAGTGTTCCCCGGGCTTCAATGGTACTGCGCTCGACTCAGAGAAAAACCACAACAAGACAGAAATTCCCGGAGATGCATGAGTGAGTACGGGGGCAGCTTTTTTTCCTGCTTTTTTTTTTTCAGTCCATGCAGGCTAAAAACATCGACTCATGGTAAGGCGATAAAGCATTACAACACCGGCGGTCAAATATCAGAGTCAACATTTAGATGTTCCACTGCACGGGCATCGCCCTCACATGCAGACATCGGGATGAATGACAACAAAATAAAGAAATATGTGACTGCTCCTGGAACAGTGCTACCAACCACAGACTCCTGCTTTAAAAAGACTTGTGACCGTCCATCGGAAGCAAGGTGCCGTGAGCTGAGCTGACTGGGACCTTCAGGTGAAATTTCTCACTTAAAGACAAGTGATTCACAACCTACGCTGAACCATGAAGACCTGGCTGAGGGTGGCAATTTTCTTTGGACGGCGTGCTGCTTTTAACCCACCCGTGACGACTTAAAAACCCAGCCTGAATGCACAGCTGGGTGCATTTACACACGCTTCTGCTTTGGGGGTGTTTAAAGCAGCTAATCTGCCCTCTCATTGGTCTCCTTTAACTTAAGGTGACCCAGAGGAGCTCAGAAACCAAACTCTACTCTGGGTCTCGGCCAGTCCCTTGCCGTTAAACCACAGGCCGAGCATTCATTGATTAAACGTGGTTACGGACAAGTCGATTTAGGCATCAAAGAGGAACTATAAAGACGGGGAAATAATTTGGGGATCAGGGGCAATCAATGCGCTCCCCCAAAATGAGCCTGGAGTGAAACCAGGAGGGAATGATCCGCTTTGGAGGATGATTTTTCATTGGTTCATTAAAAAAGAACGCTTTGATGTGCTGTCAGGGCAACAAAAGGTTGACTTTATTTTTAACAAACATAACTGGCACTCTTTGCTAGGTTTCAGTTCAAATTAGGTGTCCAGAAAAAACATTTGAGGTGGCAGTCGTGGCGTTTGAGAGGCGTTGACGGCTTCACAGTGAGGAATGGTGTCAGAGTGAGTGTGTATGTGTATGTGTGTGTGTGTGTGTGTGTGTGTGTGTG